GAGAGCCGTGTCAACAGCATAGAGGCAGTGCGGTACCAGGCCCCTAACATAAGGGAGGCATTGTTGGGGGTCAGGGACAAAGTGACAGATCCCCTGACCAAGGTTGAAGCACAGAGTTTGGCAGAAGAGGTTGGGTCATACCGCTTCCTCATTTGCACAGTGGTATGGTATGACATTCTTCACCATGTGAACCATGTTGGCAAGCTCCTGCAGTCTGCCACAATGCAGCTTGATGTGGCAGTTGACCTCCTTACAAAGGCAAACATGTCTCTGACTAGTTATAGAGACACTGGCTTTGCTGCAGCTCAGGCCACTGCTAAAGACATGTGTGAGGAAATGAATGTGGAGGCTGTGCTGAAAGAGAAGAGACTGAGAAGCACAACAAAACACTTTGCCTATGAAGCCCCAGACGAGCCTATTGCAGATGCCATGAAGAGGCTAGAAACGACATTCTTCAATGTAGTTGTTGACACGACTATTGAATCCTTAAAGGATAGATTTGAAACTCTGGGTGAAGTGAGAGCCAGATTTGGAGAGCTGCTCAACTTCAAAAAAACTGGATGGTGTGGAATTGTGCAACCAGTGTGACAAGCTCTGCAGCACATTAAGCACGAGATGGAGGTGACATTGATGGAAGGAGCTGGCTCTGGAAATTACCAATCTGCCAAGCCTGCCTATGTGAAATGACTGCACTGGAGCTCCTCTCTTTCATCCACAAAAAAACCTGAATGAACTGTATCCCAATCTGTGGATTGCCCTGCGAATCGCTTGCACTCTTCCTGTGACTGGCCTCAGCAGAGAGGAGCTTCTCAAAGCTGAAGCTCATCAAAACCTACCTGAGGTCATGCATGGGACAGGATCGCCCCACTGGTCTTGCCATAATCAGCATCAACCATGAGATTGGCAAGCAGCTGTCATATGATGACATTATTGATGACTTTGCTTCTAAGAAAGCAAGGAAGCAGAAGTTTTGAGGAGGAGGAAAAATGTAAAGTAACATTTTTTGAGAAAATGCTGCATTTATTGACATAGAGGAGCCTCATTGTTTACCTTTTTTTAATATCATTTTCTGTAAGTTTCAATTGCTTGGGTCAACTTGAGATGTTCAATTTGAATTTAAGAGAGGTTTTCGTTAATTTAGCCTGTGTTCCTCTTAAAGTGTAACAGATTAATGTATCTCCACAGATCATCTTAAAGGCTTTGTAATCCTCAAATGTAGTTTGACAAAATAGGGCCCCCAAACAGCATCTTGCATAGGGCCCCCAAATAGCTAGAAACGGCCCTGAAGCTCATTAATGGATTTTTTTTTAGCTTGAATTTATATTCATATGTCTTTACAATATTAGAGTCTCACTAAAAACCCACAAGTTAAACTGAGATCCATAAAACTGACAAGAGAAACCACAAACCAATGTGTAGTAAACCTTATGCTGAGCACAGAGAAAGTGGTTGGCTGTAGCTCAGGGCGATATTGCACTGATCTGCCAATCAGGGGATCACCTGTTTAATCCCACCCTCTGCAGTCAACATCTGGAAGTGTCTCCTTTGGTAAGGTACCTCACCCCATTGCTCCTGTAGGCATATCTACGGTTTTGGAGTGCATGTATCCTTTGGATTCAAGTGTCAGCTAAATAACATTTCAAACAAATAAAGAAAGATGGAGAAAACTGGTATTAAAGACCCACATTTAGAGTAATTCCCAAAATCAAGAATACTGTATAATCTGCGACATAATGTATAAAACAGGGGTTCAGTTTCAAAGTGGGCAAACTTTTATTTTTCAACCAATTGGCTCACAACATGTCATCAAACAGTCTGTTATATGGCTCCTTTCTAGCCATCCTCTGCTTTACATTGCCTGGTCAAATTCTCGCTGTAATGTAAACATAAATAGTACTTATCTATCTATCTATCTTAACCTGAAAGCCTGTAATCAATCAATCAATAAATCATAATGTTTATTTATATAGCCCAATATCACAAATGTTACATTTATCTCAGTGGACTTCACAGTTTGTACAGAATATCAGTATGACAATACGACACCCTCTATCCTTAGACCCTCACAGCGTACAAGGAAACACTTCCGGAGAAAACCCACAGTTTAAAGGGAAAAATGGGAGAAACCTCAGGGAGAGCAACAGAGGAGGGATCCCTCTCCCAGGACGGAGAGACGTGCAAAAGATGCCGTGTGTAAATCGAAGAGATAATACATTTTACAGCATATAGACCGAATGTTAGGAAATGCATGTGTCTATAATAAGAAGATGAATCCACGAGGATTTCAACAATCCTGTGCGAGCCATCAGGGAAGTAGTATGGTGAGAGTCAGGCAGGACTGTAAAAGCGTTCCCATCAGAAACACCAGGTAAGCCCACCATCTTTACGTATGCCCATACAAATTCTAAATACCCAAATATCCTACACACCCCCAAAACATGTCTGTTGATTCCTTCTTTTTGGATTTAGTCAGGTTAACTTGTACTTCCCACAGCCCCCCCATGTGCTTCTGGTAGAGAGTTTGACACCCATGCACACAATGCGGTTCCAGATTTGAAATTGAACAATGAGTAATGAGTCTGTCTTATTTGTAGAGCAAGGCGCTGTTCACACTGCCGCTCTGTTGAAATGGGCCGTTTATCTGCTTTGTGTGGGTTTGTTATCTTTGCATGCACTACTGAATATATGCATATATCACACAGGATGTGACTGATTTGGGTCAAAGAAGTGAGTAATAAATTAAGCTTGCATAAGTGTGTGTGTGTGTGATGTGTTTGCATCTGCCCTTAGCTGCAAGTATCAGAGCTCTTGGAGTGGATGGTCACGATATCTGGCAGCGTGTGACGAGACACAAATCCGCTGTCAGACTTAATCCAAAACAGAGCGAAACAACCAGAAAGACGCAGTCGTCAGTCAGCTTGACAAAAACAACTTTTTCAATAAACATCGTGAAAGCGGAATGAGCCCTGGTAATGTTAACTCACAGTATGCCGCTAACATGCTGGAGGATGTTTTCTATCTAAAGCCCTACAGTACTGTATGTAATGTCGTGGGAACCTTTTTTTGGCAGGGTGTTGCTTTCACAATCTACCTGCTGGAGTGAATCACAGAAGATAAAGTTAATTCATTCTATGGGAGGATAATAAATGTCTGTATGTGTACCCTGATTCAAAATAAAGAACAGAAGCTCATCTGAACAAAAAATAAGGTCATAGACCGGATAGATATGCAAGTATTTTATGCAAGATTCATAAAATATGTAAGTTCGCTTAGTCAAGATCATGCCGGCATAACTCGTATGCATATTAAAGTAGGGGCGGTGATATGGTGGTATATCCTTTCATATTTTGATAATGTTATACCATAATATAACCAAGTGTGTTGTCTGATTTTGGTGGATCTAATGAAATAGATTATGCATCATCATGTTGATTTAAATATCCTGTTAGTTCTAAATTACCTGTCCTGCTGATGGATTTGCGGAAATATAAGACTTGGGTAGACAATCTGAAATGGACCTCTGAAATCTGAAGAAAACAACATGAACCCAACATTTATAATTTACAAAGAGAGAGCAGAGGAGCATGTTATCGAGGCGATCTAAAATGCAGCAACTCCAAACCGACCTAAATGAAGTAGAAAAGGGAAGTCACTCATGTCCTTTATCTGTACTTATCACACTTTGACACTTACATAAAACACATTTGTTCTACTGTTATGACACATCACGTGATCAGAGCTGATAGTGTGTGCTCTCTGCTCTGCACAACATATTGACACACAGACCTAATTAGTTTTTTATTGAGTCCAAACGCAGCCTTCGGAATGTGTTTGTATACATTGCTGTGTGTGTAAGCTGAAAACGTGTCGATCGATCGGTGCGGTGCGTTGAATACAAACAGTGTTGAGAAGTTTTCTCTCTGGTTTTCCTTCTAACTGCCTCATGACCGTGAACTTGTTACTGAATTCTTGTCACAAAACTTAAGTGGCTGCGATGCAAATTAAGCACTTTACAAAGCAAAGGCTGAGTTATTGATGTGTTAGCTAAGGACAGAAGGTTGTATGTTTTACCATCTTTGAGAACGTAAACATAGCAAATATGTTTTTACTTGGTGCAATGCAATTTTTCTGTCCAGATACTGTCAATGTTGAAGAGAGAAAACATATATGTTTATACTGAAAATGGGCTCTTATGTTTACCTTAGAGCAGGGGTGTCAAACTCAAGGCCCGGGGGCCAAATCCGGCCCGTGACTTCATTTTATGTGGCCCACAACAGCTCTGAAAGAATATAATATGTTTATTATACGGTTACATGCCGATTTACAGAAGCACGTTGCCCATAAACTACATGTCCCACAATGCATCTCAAATTGGCCTTTTTCTCAGAATTTAAATGTCAAGTGTTTTCTCCAAAATGTCACTTTTTTTTAACTTTTTCTTCAGAATTTGGCTTTTCTTTTTACATAATTTTGTGACATTCTCACCGAAGAGACTTGCAATTATTTGCCGTAGACTTCTGCTTTCAGACGTAGTTAATTATGAAGTTATTAACCTATCCGATAATAATCCAATGCAGAGGCGATAATGTAATATAATACATTATTTTATATATATTAAATATTTATATATGTATTTTTTTTTTTATATAGTCTTAAGTTGCAACCCGCCCTTTGAGTGCAACCGTAATGCTGATGTGGCCCGTGATGAAATTTGAGTTTGACACCCCTGCCTTAGAGTCTGTAAGGATTCTTTTCAAATGGTGTTAATTACCAACTTCTCAAAGATGCCGTTTTAATATGAAACAGAGGCTGCTGGTACTTCTCTTTGTTAGTCAGGGCAATGGTCATAGTTTTAATGAGGATTGGATTGCAGATAACACTGACTTATTACAGTTATTACAAAAAAAATACTCCCAATAGATGTAGCAATCAGTGTCTCCTTTCAGCTTATTATAATAAATAAATAAATAATAAGTTTTGAAATGTTTCTGTGTCTGCAGGTCCATCATGACAGACTTGTACTACCTCAGCCAGGCGGACGGAGTGGGCGAGTGGAGAGAAAAGGAGGCTAAAGACCTGTCGGATCTGGTCCAGAACAGAATCACCTACCTACAGGTATGTACCAACACACCTCTCTCTCACACACACACACACACACACACACACACACACACACACACACACACACACACACACCCACATGTCGACTTGTGAACATTTACGCCAATGTTTCCCTCACAGGTACAACCGTGCATATTCATTTCAACTTTCACACTCCCTAGTCTCATTTACACCATCCATAACTGTCAGCCTGGGTTTCTAGCGGAGCAGGTGAGGGGTGTGATAGCCGACTGTCTATCTCAGCAGTCGGATTTGACAAGTAGGATTCTTGTTTGCCTGTTCAGTGACACACACACACACACACACACACGCGCAGACTCGTGAAATGACAAACCGGCAGACGTGCATATGCAGAAATGCAAAAAAACGTCTACGCTGCACAAAGACTTTATTTACTCTGATGCACATATGCTTAAAGCTCCACACACACCCAGAGAGAGATGACACCCCGCTCCGGGCTCCGGTGCGGCCGGGGTCTCGGGTGGGTCCCCGCAGCATTAATGAGCCGGTATGTTTGATGAAGAGGACCCAGTCAGTCTGGCTGGGCGGAGACAGCACCACAAACAGCTGCTGTCACCACCGCTGAGGGATCACACCGCTCCACCAGCTGCCGCCACTAATTCATCACACACACACCGAGTCGCGCGCAGATGGATTCACACACACCTACGCAAGCTATCAGCACACACACATATGCGCAGCCACAAGATTGATGCACATGCCGGTACACAACGAGAGTGTGGTGGTGTGTGTGTGTGGTGGTGTGTGTGTGTGTGTGTGTGTGTGGTGTGTGTGTGTGTGTGTGTGTGTGTGTGTGTGTGTGTGTGTGTGTGTGTGTGTGTGTGGTGTGTGTGTGTGTGATGTGTGTGTGTGTGTGTGTGTGTGTGTGTGGTGTGTGTGTGTGTGTGTGTGTGTGTGTGTGTGTGTGTGTGTGTGTGTGTGTGTGTGTGTGTGTGTGTGTGTGTGTGTGTGTGTGGTTTCTCTCTCTCTCTCTCTCTCTGCCTTACGCACCAGCCTCTCCCTTCATGCGTATTCTCCATCTGCCTCTCACAACATTCACCGAACGTAGCATGCTTCCTCGGATTTCTGTTTCTGCACAGTGAGCCTTTATAGTACTTTGTGGAATTAATTGGTAGTGAGAAAGATCATCTCTTTGATCCTTGGCATTTTGTCACCGCATATCCCAAAGATCACTTGTCACTCTACAAACGTGCCCAGTTATAATCCTTGAAGCAGCAGGTGAATTGGGTCAGGGAACCAAAGAGAACTAACACCTGACTCTGCAGTTCCTCTCAGCTCTACAGAGCGTCTTCCAGATCATTGTCGAGGTTTTCTGGCCTAAACTTTACGGGTTTTCTGGTTGCAGCAGGCAGCTCTGATAAATAATATGGTTAAAACCCAGCTGTTAACTAGCTGCAAGGATCCAAAAAGTAACAGGCAATGTTCAGACACCAAAAAAGAGGGTGCAGATGGATGGACACAAACACAACTTGTATTTTCTAGCGATGTTCCTTCACTTTTTAAGTTGATGCGTCAGTTGACTCTAAAGCTTTAACAAAAATGCATGTATTGCAGCTTTACCACTGAGGTATTCTGTGTGCAAACGCATCCTTGTCTTTAAATCCCCTGTGTGTAGATTAACGATTTGTATCCAGTAGGGGTGTAACGGTTCACAAACATTTCGGTTCGGTACGTACCTCGGTTTTTTGGTCACGGTTCGGTTCGGTACGTTTTCGGTACAGCAGAATTTTTTTTCACAAAATAAAACATATATATATATTTTTTTTTAAATTATTATTAAACTGTGAATAATGTATTCACTTAAATAAATACAAAATATAATAAAATAAACATTAAGGTGCAGCATTTCGATGAACTGAAATAATCTGTATTTGAACTTTACTGTAGGCTACTAGTACTCACAAAACATAAACTATTAGTTTTGGGTTTTTTATTTTTTATTAAACTGTGAATCTTCACTAAAAAAAATATAAAATAAAATAAACATTAAGGTGCAGCTTTTCGATGAACTGAAATAATCTGTATTTGAACTGAACTGTACTAGTTCCTAAGCAGCCAGCTTGACATTAGGACTTGCTTGTCATTGTATTTTCATGTTTTTTTAAAGAAAGATGAACTTGTCCACATTGCTTGCTGAAAGGGCAGATCTGCTGGCACTAACAATGTCTCCTGCTGTGGAGAACACCCTCTCTAGGGACAGAGGCAGCAGATACAGCCAGGTAGCGCTTTGCTAACATGGCAACATAAGGATATTTGGCGTTTGTAACAGCTTTGGCTCGGTCTGAACTCTCTGCGAGTGGTGGAGGCTTACATGCTAGCGGGAGTTGGGTTTGCACTTCAGTCTTTTTTTATTTTGGTACCGGTGATATTCACGTTCGGGTGATGCCTTTTCAAGAGTGTGCAAGTTTGATGTATTGCCAGCCACGTAACCAATTTTAGTTGAACAATGCCGACAAACAGCTTTGGTTCGGTCCACCTGTCTTTGTCCGTCATCCTTGTACGTAACTGCGAAACCAAAATGTTCTCAAACCGGAGACTTCAATGATGCTGGAGGATTTTCGAGCTCAACTTTATCTGCGTTCGCCATTAATTTTCGACAGTTCCTCAAATTACTGACTACATTTGAACGCATCCCTCTGACCAGCTCTCATAGTATGCCTCTCATCCAATGAAATGACTTGCTCGCTCTATGACGCGTTGAACCCAATGTGAGCAAATTACTCTGAATGCTGCGACGCAGCACCTGAGATTACTTCCAAAAAGTTGTTCACGTTCTCAATTTTTTACGTTTAACGTTATATTCGTTCGGTACACTTCGGTACACACCTGTACCGAACCGAAGGGCCCGTACCGAATAATTTCGGTACGGGTACGTGTACCGTTACACCCCTAGTATCCAGTAACGGAAAAGGTAAACTCAGCAAGCATTAATCACATGAAATCTGTTATACAAAGAGACCTTACAGAATAACGTGTTATGGCCATTGCTGAGAATCATTGCTGGTACTAAAAAATACAAAAACTGGGTTACATCTGTTGACGAAATAATACAAATAATGACGTGTTTTTCATTGGATTATCTGATCAAATATGTGTCTTTTCTCTTGCTGGAGCTCTTTCACAGTCCAGCTATTGTGCATGATAATGCTCACGCTAACCACTTCAGCCCCCCTTGAAAACACCTTGTTGCTTTTCAGTGCAACAAATGTGTCACAAATTGTACTCTACAGGTGTCGTTCCTCTCAAGGGGTCCAAGATTTTAATGAGCTTGATAGTGCTGGAAACAGAGAGCAGCCAAACAGACATTCTCTATACAAAATGTAATGTAGTTTTCATCAGACATCTTCAAGTGTGGGCCGCGTCATTTCATCTTCCACTCTGTTTTTGAATGTGGGCATCACAGTAGATAATTGCCTGAGCTTGACTCTCTATTCCTCTTATCTATTCCTATTCTTCTTCGCCATATTTCCTACTTAAACAATATCACTGTTGTCTCTCTGAACGGAATCACTCCGCCACTGCCTATAGGTTTCACACTCAAAAAGCACAGCATTTAAACAGGCACTTACAGCGCAGAGTACTCAGAGGCTGCCTTTGAGCACGCATCGCCGTCATTATCCTTGAACCGAGTCTCTCATCAGTACCAGCCAGGGATCCTATGATGGCCTCTACTCATACCCAGAGATGGCAAAAGTGCACACATCCTTTACTCAAGTAGAAGTACAGATACTCGTGTTCAAAAATACTCTGGTAAAAGTAGAAGTACTGACTAAACTTCTTTACTCAAGTAAAAGTAAAGAAGTATGGGCTTTGAAATGTACTTAAATAAAAAGTACCCATAACTAGCAGCTGTTTTAAAGAGTACCTGACCTCCCTTTATATTAATAGAACAATAATGTCATTGTTAGCTAATGAATGTTTCCATGCTGAACAACGGCAACATGACAACGTTTCCATTGGTCCCTCTTCTTTAGAGAAGACCAGGAAATGATGGATACACGGATCGTGTTCAAATCAATAGGCACGCAATGACTCTAAATAATAATGATCACACCACCAAACGCAGATTAAAACTAAAGGAACAAACCTGTTTTGAAAATGTAAGAAGTAGAAAGTACAGGTATTTGTGTTAAAAATGTAAGAAGTAAAAGTAAAAAGTCGAAAAAATGTACTTAAGAACAGTAACAAAGTATTTGTACTCCACTACTTCCCACCTCTGACACCACACATTGATATCATGCAGACATTGCAGTTCTGTCAAAAGAAAAGCTGAACACGAGTTCTCCTGTCGGGACGCCGCTGTAGATTATTAGGGCAGAGAGTTAGCTTCCACCTTTGGGGCAAGTCGTGAACCGGCAGCCTGTAACTCGGGGGAAATACCTGTGTGGCTTGTTCTGTCAGCTCCATGGCTGCTGTACTCTGCTCAGGATATTGAACAGCAGTTGAGGGTAATCAGTTTTCAGCTCTCAGGTTCAGCGCCCCTCTTTTCCTTTATTCTTTTTCTCATTTCATATCCAGTTTGTTTTCTATCCTCATCTCTTTTCCTCATCCCTGTCCTCCTCCTCCTCCCTCTCTTCCTCTCCCTCTCCTGTGAGTGTGTGATAGGCAGCGTTAGCCGGTGGGTGCTGCGCGGCCTGATTACTGTGAACCATCCACAGCTGCAGCCGCCTAATGAGGAAAACACTCCTATCAGCCCGTAATTGCTGTTTAAGAAGCTGGGTGGCACGAGCGTTGCAGAGTCGCTCAGACCGGCTGCAGAGCGAATCACAAACCGCCCGGCAACCCATTGACAACACAGCATGTGTCACTCTGTGGGCTTCCATTTTTTTATTTATAAGAAATCCTTGTTTTTTTCCCCCCCAGTGCCTCTCATTTGGTATTCTTCCCGTCAAGACTTTGTATGATATCGAAGCTAATTTACGAGATGAGGAATGAGAGTGGGATGGGGATTTGGAGACAGAACAAAAAGGGGAAGCAGGGAGAATATGAGAGAGAAAAGATCGGAGAACATTGAAGGGGAGAAAGAAAACAATTAAATAATAAGAGTAATGAAAAGACAGAGACAGGAGAAGGCAGAGGTAGAAAAGGGACTCAAATGAGATTAAGAAGGAAGACATATTAAAGGATAAGGCTGGGGATTTCTTCAGTCTTCTAATTGTCAACAAATCCCAGGAAACCTCAAGTTGTCCATCCATCAATAACCTTTAACTTCCCCCAGCAATGGCACTCAAGCCGATTAGTTTCCACTGACAACTGATAACATCCTAAAAAAGGTTGCCGCAAATACATATTTATATATATTTTTATTATGTTGCTGTGTCTCAGTTTTGCAAATGTAACTCAAACGGCAGTAAATATTGCATTTTCCGTGGCCACCTATTTACATGCGCTTGTGAATATTTACAGCACCAGCACAATGAAATAAACCACGGTGCCCATATTCATCGCATTGAAGATTAATGCAATGGTGTTGCTCAATAATGTGTTTTTAATAGTGGACATAAATATCTATATCAGAGTTTGACTACATAAACAGTGCTTTCTACCATGATAAATAGAAAATCACCAGCTTTTAACTTTACAGTATGGAAAAAAATAAGCAGAAAGAAGAGGGAAGAGAGAAGTTTCAATACCGACACACTGAGAGAGAAGCAAAATGAAAAATTGGCAGGTAAAGAGAGAGGGACAAACTGAAAAAGATTGAACGGGTATGAAATTAGAGGCAAGTGGAGACAGACAGGTAAAGGGAACTAAGAAACAATATCAGCCATGTGTTATTACAAGTCAGAGAGCAGGGCTTTGAGAGATACGAGATGAAGGTCAAGCAATAAAAAATGTTGAAACATTCCTCCCTCTTTTCCTCCCAGAACCCTCCAGACTGCAGTAGGCGAGAAAGCTGGTGTGTAACATCAATAAGGGCTGTGGTTATGGCTGCCAGCTGCACCACGTGGTGTACTGCTTCATGATCGCGTACGGCACGCAGCGCACGCTCATCCTGGAGTCCCACAACTGGCGCTACGCCCCGGGGGCTGGGAGACCGTGTGTCCTGCCCGTCAGCAACACCTGCACCGACCGCGCCGGGGCCTCCACCGGACACTGGTCAGGTACGTACACACACACACACACACACACACACACACACCCAACACACAACCAGCCATATCTATGGATCTAATTTCCTGCCATAACTCCACAAACAAACTAAACGTGTTTTATAATTCACTAACGAACACAGTGTGGTTTGCAAATACAGAACGCCATCTACAAACATGCATTACGCTTGTCACCTGATTTTTGTGATGCGTTTGTTTTGATAGATACGTTTTATATTTGCAAAAACTAAACGCATTAGTTTGTAGATGGTGTTTTGTATTTGCAAACCACACTGCGTTTGTTAGTGAATCATAAGGGCATTTGTAAAACTTTAGTTTTGTGGAGTTATGGCAGGAAATGAGCTCCATAGCCTCAGTGCCCTCATTGGTTGCTTATCAATCAAATGACGCTCGTGTGTCTCGGTCCATCTCGGCTCAAAGACAGGGTCTGCCAGGCCCCTCTTTTGTGCAGCTACAGCGGAAAAAACAAAGTGTGAATTCCCTGGCTAAGCCGACTGAGCAATTTCTGTTTAAAGCACTTTGGCAGCCAATGTAGCAGCAGCCGGTTACTGTATAAAGCTTTCATTGCCAAGAAAGCCTGTGACTTGAGTTCAGTGAACAACCTGCTCCTCTGACCGGCCGTACGTTTAATACAAACAAAGAATGGATTAACCAACTCTTGCAGAAATGTTGTGTATTTGTGAGAACGGAAGATCCTCGCAATGTTTTCATTTCTATCTGTATTCTGAGTATCTATCATCATGGCGTATCTATAATTAATCACAGTGATTATGGCAAATGTAAAAAAAACTGTATCTGTTGGTTTCTACATAAACTTACTTAGGGGTCTTATATTATCACATTAAAACTTGCCTAGTGCAATGTAAACATTAGCATACCAAAGATTCACTTGGACATCAATATTTAATCTAGTGTTGAATGGGGAAATTGTGTTTGCTCTAACATATGAAAGTACAAAAGTACTTGAATCCCCTGAGCATAGGTCCACTGCTCTACTCTTTAAGCAATGCGTATGAGTATTCAGCCATAAATATCGTACATTTATTCGTATTTTTTTCAGAAGAAAGTAAACATTTCTGCCAGTGAAAGGCATAAAGGATCATAGACATATATTCAAGGTGTTAGCATTCAATGTGCCTCTAAACTGGACTAGCTTGAGAGCTATTGTTGGTCTAAACGTACCTTTTGAATGATTTTTTAAGGTGAGCCCTGAGATGGGACCTGAAGTTGAGCGAGGCTATAAAGGGGATTTTGAATTTTGTCTGGTTTTAGTGACTCCCTAACACCAGCAGGTCAATGTTTTCAGCAATACTATGAAATATCTCAACACCTACTGAATTGATTGGTACACACATTCATCGTTCCCAGACAATGTGTCCATTTAACTTTGATCGCAATGGCGGTTACACATTTACCACCACGAGGTTTAAATGTGTGCTTTTGGGTGACTCTCAACAGCTATGAGGGGGATTGACTTTAAATGTGGTAAATCCCCCTCAGGATGAATTGTTTTATTTGGGTGATCCCTTAAAATCTTAACATGGTGAACATGGTAGACTTTCATAATGATAGCATTTAGCTCGTACCACCGCTGTTCCCATGTACAGCCAAACGGAGCTGCCAGCCTCGCTCTAATCTTGTTATTAAGGTGAGTATTAGAATTGATCCACCAGATGACTCTCCATAATAAACACCATGTTCAGCTTAATGTACTTTGTATGTAAAGTAGCTTACACCTTGGATCGATGTGCTTGTTTGGGGGAAAGCACCTCCTCTCCAACGCTCTGGTTGCAGAATATTTGATGGAAGAGATTACATACAGGTGTGTTTGCCTCTGTTAAGCTGACAAAACCAAAAAATGAAGATGATTCTGAGGTTTTAATATAAGACTATGCCTGCGTCCTTCTCTCCCTCTCGGTCACTTTTCTCTCATTGCTTTCTTGTTCTCATCACCGCATCCTTTCAGCTGTATATTTTTCTCCTATCGCTTCGTTTGACTTGAGCTCATCCTGGGTTCTCCTTTCTTATCTCCTGCTCTCATAAGCGTCTTCCCTTTTCTTATTCTCCTGCCTTTCATGTGTCCTTTGCTGCTATCTAATGTCTTTCTCCAGTGCCTGTCTTACAAACAGCCTCCTATAGATCCATATATGCCATCTGGCTTCTCACAGCCAACAGCCAACTCACTTCAAACGCCACTCCCCAGGCCATTCAGCATTCTGAATTCATGTCATTATTAAGTCATGTAATTGGCAGATTTTCTGTTGACCACGCCAGGTACTAGGCATAGCTAATGTAAACCTTTTGTATACTTTGCTACACATGTGCTCATCTTTTATTTAGCCAACAAGGCCCTATTGAGATGCAAGATCTCTTCTGTTTTGTTAACAGTGCAGGCCAGAACATTCCTCGGGGCAATGGACCACACAGGGATAGTAAAACCTTGGATTCATACCTAGATATGCATTGAATATCTCACTAATTTAGCAGAGTGTTTGTCCATGCTAGTGCTATTACAGCGTTTGAATGTCATGAATACTGATCTCTTTAAAAAAGGGCAATAGCCACATGTATTTGCAAGTGTGGTTCTACAGTACACTGGCCTTGTATTCTAAGGTTAACCAGTGTGTGTGTTAGCTACCATGCAAATGACTCGATGATAAATAAAAAGGCTTTGCACAGTGCCTGGATTGCATGGAGCTTTGCACCTTGAGGACAGCGTTATTTTCTCATTTTGTGTCTCATAAATCCTAATCATCTGTCGTATTATTTCGCGGTAAATGCCACCACTCCTTTGTAGTCACCTTCTATTAAAAATGTAATGAGCATACTGCTTTGGGTGTTCTATGCTTAGCAAGTCTTTCTGTTCTTTGCCTTGTGTTTTTGTGGGTATTTTATGTAGCAGCCCTATTTAATTCCTTCCCTCCTCATTTACCTTTACATGGTTTACCCACTTTCTTCTAAGTGTTTCCCCTAGGATGAGTCATCTATAGACAGAGAGTGGATGTGCAGTATATTCATGTGTGACACAAATCAAAGGTAATGATAGCGTCATTAGGGGACCTGCTGGTTTTGTTCCCTCAGATGGAACAAATAAAAACAAAAATAAATCATCATAACATGCAGTGAACCCCTGTGTGAGCTGCTTGTTGAAAATAGAATAATTGCCAGGAGCTTTATATTGATGCTACATTATGTCCAACAGGCTAATGGCTGGTTAATGTTTTGTTTTACCCAAATTAAATGTTTCCTTTGACTCGCGACTTAAGCAAATGAACTAACCACTTGCATATTTTACCAGCTTGGTTTGTATAACCATGATTATTTAATGGAACTATTAATACAAGTTGATCCACCTTGTTTATCTTGTGTGGCTACTTCAACAAATTACAGAAAATGGGCTTTTAGTTTGGATCTGTGACAACAAATATATATTTTTTTATTTAACCTTTATTTATACATTGATCTCTTTTTCAAGGGAGACCTGCTCAAGTAGTTCCACATGAAACATAACAACATAAATAGAACAACAAAAGGACATCATACAGCATCATTTACATCATTATCCACATAAACAGGTACCAACAGCTTCCGATTGAGTAGCATTCAACCGAGCTTTAAAAACATTTAGTGGCACCAGATTGTTCCGTTTCCATTTAATTTGCAGACTATTCCAAGACAGTGGAGCTGCACATCTAAAAGCTGTCTTCCCTAAGACAGTCCTAGCAGTTGGCACATTTAATAAAACCACAGCATGCGATCTCAGGCAGTAGCCACTTACAATTCGCCGTGAGATCAGGGAGCAGATATAGGATGGAAGTTTCCCTAACATGGCTTTGTATATAAAAATGTACCAGTGACTGAGCCTCCGTACAGTTAGTGAAAGCAAACCAGCCCTTGCATACAGAGTACAGTGATGGGTTAATGCTTTACAGTTTGTCACAAATCTTAGTGATACGCAGCATCTAACTTGATCAGGCAATGGGCAGGTGCATTCATATACATCAAATCACCATAGTCCAAATATGTGTCCAAATTCCAGTTTTTAGTACTTGACAACTTTAGGTTCTCATTGTTACGTATCATGCATATTTCTGTCAGTACTAAAAGAAGGAATTTAGTTTGAATCCCAGCCCTCCGGTCTATTAATCCACTGGTGCGTGTTGTGCTGTTTTACTTCAACTTTTAAAATTCAGTGGACAGCATGAGCTCTTTGCACTACTTTACAGACCTGGTATATCAAACTAAATTCTGAGCACACAAAGGGGAAACCAGGCTTCTTATGGAACAATGGTTCGTTGATCAAAGAGCTAATTTGCCAAAGAGACTGTATTCCTTTGAGGTTCTCTGTAGAGATATTACTGCCTTATGAGCGAGTCTGCGAGCGGCAGCCGAAACATAATGTTCCCTGCCATGTTAGGACTGGAACAAGAGTTCTCCAAGTTCATAAACGTTCATAATCTTAAATGTATTATGAATGGAGAGGCTCCGTATTTTGTGTCTGGATGACTGGCTCTCCAGTTTCATCGCTGTGTTAATCTCATGCAATATTTATTAGGCTCAATATACACCATAGGCTTACAATACAGTGTAGTGATTCTGCTTCAGTGCTGACTTTCATGCTTTAAGTCATGACGCATACAGGAAATGTATGCAGATGCTCTGGAGTTGAGATGAAATATAAAAGAGCTATGTGATCTAATTAAGTATCTGTGGGAGGCAGACAGACTGCATCTCTGTGCCAAGAAGTGCAGGCCTCAAAACATGCCCATTCCCCTGTATATGGATCATGCCAATGCTGTTATATAAGCAAAGACAGGCCTCGGAATATTTTTCTGTTCAATATTTAATGCTTCTACCAATTTATATTCAGTTCATGCTCAGACATACAGACACATAAATCGAAGCCTCTGTGTCTGTCCTTGTGTTTCTTATGTACCCTCCCTCTCTGTGAAAGGCCATTTTTAATGACTCATTATGCCGTTTACTTGGAAGTGTGTTGTGGCTGTGTTTGCATCTGTGTTAGGTTCTGTCGGTGGCAGTTAGAGAAGACACTCTAGCCTGACAGAACACAGGCCTCAAACTTGTTTTTGTTTAAAACTGGGGGTTTACACAAACACATACATACACATACACGCACACACACATACACGGACAAAAAAAGCTCTCCTTGGGTTTTAAGACTGAAAGAGAGTGAAGGTTTTGTCTGCCAGGCATATCCCTTCTGGTGCGATGAGATTAGCTCGGGCTCTTTGTGTGTACGTGTGTGTTTGTGCGTGAATGCACATTTATTTCTTATTGTTTCTTTTTTTTGGATCCCCTTTAGTTGTCTGTGTTGGATCACCTTTATTCCATCTGATCACAAAACCCCTATAAGCCTGTTCTGTGTGTGTCTTATCATGTCCGTGTGTGTGCGTGTGGGTGGGGTACATGAGCGCTGGCATGTTTCTCCACCTTTATTCACGCATGCAGGTGTGCAGCATGCACCTGTACGAGTCTGTGTGTATGGACAGTTGGCCTTGACGTGCATGGAGGTCTGGCCGTGCACGGGGGCTTTCTTCTGCCCAGAAAGGTGACCTTTGTAATCAGCCCTGCTCAAGCCTCTGCCCAGGGCCTCTGCCAAGCAGGACTCAGCCTGAAGGGGCCGATGCCAGACCACCGGCCCCCCCTAACCCCACCACCCAGGTCCTTGCACCGGCCCCTGGCCCTACACAGCCCTGATGGAAGGGAGCTTACCTTGGGGGATGGATTGCTGCTGGAAGTGGAATGGATATAATAGTGCTTAACAATAACTCCCAATAACGCCCAATCATTTATTCGGACAGAAAAAAACTGCTATTAACTTGCTGATTTATTTGAACTTGATGAACTGGTGAACGTTGTCTAACCTGAACAGGTACATTCATGGTTTTTGGCATCAGAAATGAAAATGATTCGAGTTTGTGGTTTTCTAAATCCTACAGACAGCCGTTACTGATGCAAGGTCTGAAGCAAAGTCAGTCAAGTCAATTTTATTTTTGTTGCCAAAAATGACAAATGACTATTTTTGAGGAAGGCCACTAAATAGGTTTTAAACATGGGCAGTGCTGAAAGGTTCATCCATTCTGTAGAAAATAAATCACTAACAATGTTGATAATGCATTAATTGATTACTTCCATAAACACCAAACATTTTCTGGTTTAGCTTCTCAAATAAATGCCTTTTTGCTTTGCTGTTTATTGTGTATTATTTGGTCTGCTAGAAAAGCAACCAGCAATTTGAGGACATTACCTTGGGCTCTGCGAAGCTGCACGGATTGTTTTTCTCTGTAGTTACTGATATTTTACTGGTTAAACAATTGATGAATGAACATTGTTTACAGCCCTAAACGTAAGCCCTGTTCTCATAAAGGTTGAATCAGTATTGAATATTGAGTGCGTTATACTCAACAGGAGAGGCCCACGATAAAGACGTCCAGGTTGTGGAGTTGCCCATCGTGGACAGCCTCCACCCTCGGCCCTCCTACCTTCCCCTGGCCATCCCCGAGGACCTGGCCCCGCGCCTGCACCGTCTCCACGGCGACCCCTCCGTCTGGTGGGTGTCCCAGTTCGTCAAGTACCTGGTGCGACCTCAGACGTGGCTGGAGAAGGAGATCCAGCAGACCACCGCCAAGCTGGGCTTCAAACACCCCATCATCGGGTAAGGACACTCAGTTCTCACAGCTCAGTGTGTGTGGCTCTGTGTTTCCTCTCTGTGGTTATAATCGCTTTAGAAATAAAAACGTTGTCGCTATAGCATACCTCTACACTTACAAAGTGCTGCGCAATCAAAGCGAACAGAGACATGGCCGTGGGGCTGTGGTGGAACAAACACTGCTTTGGGTGAGGTTAATATGAGGTTAATGAAATAGTAGCAATACAAGTAACTTCATTTGGCGTTTGTGTTTTGTCTAGTTAGTTTTACACCTCTATCTTTCCTTTACAGTCTTTTGCTTTTCATAGTTGCCGTTCACAGTTACGAAAATCAACTTGAAATGTCATCACTCTGTACTTAGTTTTTCTAATAGCGGTGTTATGATGTGAAGTCTGATTCTGACTTTTTTCATGTATAAATGTCCTCACGAGGGTTCGTATTCCCTCGTCCAATCCAAGTCAATTCATACAGAAGACCTTCTGATCTGATATTGTTGCTAAATCAATGAAATAGCCGTAGAGTAAAAGTCAGTAAAACCGAACAAGAGATAGAGCTTGTGATGCAATTAATGGCTGCGTTTAAGATGAAAAGCCGGAAGCCTTTCTTTTATCTTCAATAGTCTTTGTTGATTAAAGCATAAACCAGGCTATATTCTATTTTTTTATTATTGTCAACAAATCCCATAAAAATACCATAAACAACTCTAAATAAATCCCACAAACAATTATTATCTTTGTTGCCAGAGCCGGATTCACTGAGTGTCTTTCCTCTCTGCCGTGCCATTATAGTAAAACTATTAAAAACACATAAATGAGCCTCACTGCATTAATCCTCAGCTGAAAACAGTCCCAAAGAATGCACAATTTACTCATGTTGTATAATTGTTCTTACAATTAAATACCATCAAAATATGTGCAATATATACATTATTATATACATAATGCCATTAGTAACTGTGTAACTGTGTAACTGTGTAACTGTGTAACTGTGTAAAAAAAGAAAGCAGGGGCTGCTTTCTTTTTTTACATATATTTTTCATAACTTAGTACTTTTGACATTGTAACATTAAGCTGTCTGCGGCTCTTTCCTGCTGTAACGATGCAAATGTCTTCTCTGTGAGCCTAATAAAGGTATTCTGATTCTGAAAAACATAAGCGATTTAAGATTTAATAACAATTTAGAGACCTGTTTTTAAAGATTTAAAATCATTTATGATTACTTTTTTACTTTTCTGTAAACGTGCCAGAGTTAGCCAAGAGGCTATTTCTCATCTGTAGTCCCTGGACAGATTTGAAAAGTCAACCTAAAACACATTTCATTTTAAACAAGTAAATACAATACATTTAAAACATGCAACAGACATTACTGGGATACTTAAATAAAACATTTTAAAATACAGAACATTAAAAGAAAACAAAAGAACATGTTAAAACACAGGCAGTGGGTTGTAAGGAGCAGAAGATTGGGTCAGTGTTGGCAGAGCTGATTCCTCACTAACCATATTGTGAGTTTTGATTTAAATAAAGTGAATGTGTCTCTGATTGGAGGTGGGATTGACAGAAAATGAAGACTGACTGAAAGAACTTTTTCTGAGTGGAATAATGCAATCTCCTCTCGCTGCACCTCTTGTTACCCTAGTTGTGCGTATGTTAATAAACTGTCTAAGAGGAGGTGAGGTAAGGCCGTTGACAATCTTGTAAAAAAGATTCCCTAACGTTCCTGCACCGTCACATGAGACGGATTCCCCTCAGCTAGGAAAGGAAGTAGTTTAAAACTAATTCTTATAGTTATATTCAGATTGTTAGTGAAGTAAGCCTGGTTTACTTCTGTCACCCTCTTCGTAGGATTCTCACTTTTCGTAGCCTTTTTTCTTTTCATTTTGCTGCAAATAATCCTCACTGTTCTTCAATGTTTTTGTCATGCTCTTCTCATATCTCCCATCCTCTTGTTACACGCTCTCTCGTTTTTTCCCTGTCTCTTTTCTCAGATGATTTCCTCTTTGGGTTTTAGCTCTTCATCACCCTGGCATCTTATGTCTCCCACCCCCCTTTTTGTGACTCATCCCAAACTTTTCCAATCTCCACATCCTCTCATTTGCTGTCTTCATTTGTTCACCCTGTTTCAAGACATTTCACACTCACCTCTCACTCACATTCCCCCGGTGCTTATTCCTAGTACCCACAAGTCTCTTGCTCTCATAGTTTTACACACATCTCTATCTGTGTTCTTTGTGTTCCCCCCACCACCAACCCCTGATATATCCCACCCTTTTTCTCCGTCATACCACTGGGGAGAGGCTTATTGAAATGATGTGCTGGGAAGAACAAAGTTTTCATTCGTTTTTTTTTTCCCGGTCCCTTCTCAGCTCCACTCTTCTCTTCACTGATGTTGCAACAAAGTGCCTGTGCGCCTCAGTCAGCACTGTGGGGGAAGGCGATATGTGTGTGTAGGGAAAAATGGGGGGGGGGGTTAATGTGAGATGCAGCAGTGGGGCTGAAAGAGAGCTATAGTTTCAGTACAAGGAAAAAGGCGAGAGGGTGGCAAGCAGTGGGGGGGTGTAAGGGTTGATGGAGAGGGTACGAGAGGGCTAGAAAGGCAGCTTGGTCCCCAGAGTACCCAGCAACCTCCAGCCGACCCCCACCCGCTCATTCAGCACCACCCACACAACCCCCCCCCCCCTGCTCCCTCAGGACGCTGCAGGAAGGCTGCGAGCCGCCGACTAAAGGCTGCTATCGGCTCCATGCTGCCACCATTTAATGCTTTCCTAATGGTAGTCAGGCTGGTCGGGAGAGAAGGAGGGGAAAGTTGGGTGACTGCTGCTATTGCACATCTAGAATAGCCTTATCGCCATGGCAATAGCGCTGCGATCTCCTCCTGCATCATAACCCACCAGGCGCGTTTCAAAACGTTGCGGAAGCGGAGCGTCGTGTGTGCAGCCTCGCAGTATGTCCACCAGACCCGCTGCGCCGCGTCAAAAATAGGATTCATCCTATATTTTAGGAAATTCCTTGCGGCGAGGAGCTTCTGGGACGCTTCGAGCCGCGGCGCAGCGGCTCTGGTGGATAAGTACCCATTGACTAGAGTGGCCGCGATCGCTAAAAACTGCCGCAGCGCAGACGCTCCTGGTGGGATTAAGGGGTTAGATTAAAACACAGACAAACTTCCTTTTGAATGATCAATATTACAAGTAAAAAACATGTTATTATAATATTAAAAAAAATAATAATGTGTGTTTGGATTTTAAAGGGGCCCTTTTTGCTCATTTTCTGGTTTCATATTTTGTATTCAGTGTTCACATGCTTTAACGTAAAAAGAAAAATGCTTTAAACTGTATTTTTTCACCAACTTATTTTAAAAAAAAATCTTATTGCATTTAATCACTTTCTATTGTTATTTGTATATTGATATCCCAGTTTACATTCAACTGAGGGTTCTTATTAATATGCTAGCATAATATGGTGTATGGGGAGAAAAAACGTTTCCGAACAAAAAATTATTTGTAATCGGCTGTGTTAAAAATCCAATTATTAGTTTATTTAAATTAAATAAATTATGATTGTTAAAAAGTTCTACCTAATTTAAAGCTAAATTTGTATTATTGTGAAAATTAAATAAATGCAGAAACAACAAGCTGTTAACACAACATTGAGTTTCTATGTTGATACGATGCAGTAAAGAAAAATGGTTGGGCTTTGTTGGTGAAAACACCTGCCCGTTGCGTGTTGAGAGAAAGACCAAACAAATATATGAAATTTAAAAACGATAAGCTAACAGCTGCTGAGGTTAACCGCAGAGTCAATGATCATTTCTTTCATTATTAGGAGGGATCTCTTTCACATACAATGTAAACAACCAGCCAGCTACCGCAACATTTAAACCACAGTTTAACAACATGTTCACAACTGCCCTACACGGCAAATTAAAGGAAAGACTCCAGAAGAGTTACAGACAAGTTATACACCCAACACCTTAATAACACACTTTAAGTTGACCTTTCGCTTTCAGGGTATAATTATGAACGTGCGCTACATCTCAAGAACACATTTGATCTGATTTGATGCCAAAATGAACGTGTGTTATTCTACAGCAAGTACAGATGTAATATGGTAATATATGTTCATCACATGCTGCTGATAGGCATCCAGAGGTCATTGTCAAACAAATCATTTATTCGGTCTACATGTTATTTTCAGTTTCCAGCAGAATCAGCACTGGCTGTGTGTGTGGGTGGGTTTGGTCTCTTATGCTTTTACGCCCACCTTGAGGATTGCCCTGCCTCGCCAGTGCTGTGTGAGTAGAGAGTAAATGGATTGAATTATTGTGGTAATAGTGTGGGAGAGTCCCGGGGAAGGGAGCGGCAGAGATGGGTAAGAGCTGAGCTTGCCTGTGCTGCTCTGACAGAGAGAGAAAGGACCGCGACAAAAAGAGAGTTCACAGGAACAAAAACCACAAGACATGAAAGAGGGAGCGGGAGAGAAAGACCTCGATAAAGGAGGGAAAAGCCTGGAGTCAAGACCTCTGTCCGAGATGAGAGACAGCGAATGAAAAGGATCAGACACCCCCGCTGACCATTCCCCAGTCACTGTTTGATCACCGCCGGCCAGCGGTGGGAGCCTGTTTATTTCTCTGGACCTCTGACTCTTTTCTCTTTTTCTTCCCCTACCTCATTCTCACAAACACGCTAGAGACAGCCTTGAGGTTAGAGAAGCTTTTTGAATCCCTAAAGCAACCGGGGAAAGAAAGTTAAAGACTGATCATCCACCAAATGATCCTGGCCCTCCTATGTTCCAGTAGAGCTGCTCCTGGGTCAGCAGTAGATGGTTGAACTAGGTGGTGGAACTGTGTTTATGTTCGTGGAATATTCAGTTTTCCCTTAATAGGTGAAGGTTGAAAAATGTATTTTTTGTTTGTTGAAATGTCATTTGCTCCTCAGGCCAGAAGTCACAATGCAGATGTGGCTGGGTAGTTTTGTAATTGAATTTTGGATGGAATGAAATTGTGTTTTTCGTCTATCAGTTTGAAGGATGCTTCTGCGTTTCCATTCTCGCCCGTCCTTTGTTCCGTTTACAAGCTGTGCTCTTCCTCTCAAGTTCAGCCGGTGACAGCAGTCTCTCTTTGTCCTTGCTTTTTGCAAGCGGTGACAAAAAACACTGAAAAAGTACAGTTGTGATGGTTATTTCCCTGTCTGTCCATGTTTCTGTTTCTTAAAACGTCCTCCCTTTTTGTACCCGCATGTCTTTTCTTTTTCCTTTCTTTCTTTGTGGTTTGCCCCATCAAAGATTTCAAAGGCATACGGTTTGAAGTGATGTTTTTATTTATGATTTTACGACACATGAAAACAAATAAGAAACAGACTGTTCAGTCAGAACTAGGATCTTTCGCTAGGGATAAAAACACTTTCTTCACTACAAGGGGCATTCAGAGAGTGAAAACCCCCTGCCAAGGCCAAATGCCATATCTTCCAATGATAACACAAATCTACAGTTCACACAGAGATCTGTTTGATGTCTAGCTATCTCTTCTGCTAAATGAATTGGTTTCCCTTGAAATTGGGTTTACAATTTTAAGAGTAAGTGCACTGTTGCTTTTCATCAGCTGTATTGGGAGGACTCTATTCATACTCCCTACTTCTTTAGAGTGCAGTTGAACAAAACGCAACACAATATGAAAACCATATCATGTGTGTGACCCTGTCTGTGTGTCTGCAGAGTCCATGTGAGGAGGACGGATATAAAGTGGGGACAGAGGCGGCCTTCCACCCCATCGAGGAGTACATGCTGCATGTGGAGGAGCAGTCCAACATCTGGCCAGACGAGTCCACATCGACAAGAAACGAGTTTACCTGGCAACCGATTGACCCCTCCCTGCTGCAGGAAGCAAAGACCAAGTTCAGGTGTGTGTGTGTGTGTGTGTGTGTGTGTGTGTGTGTGTTGTGTGTGGGTGGTGTGTGTGTGTGTGTGTGTGTGTGTGTGTGTGTGTGTGTGTGTGTGTGGTGTGTGTGTGTGTGTGTGTGTTGTTGTGTGTGTGTGTGTGGTGTGTGTGTGTGTGTGTGGTGTGTGTGTGTGTGTGTGTGCTGTGGTGTGTGTGTGTGTGTGTGTGTGTGTGTGTGTTGTGTGTGTGTGTGTGTGTGTTGCAATGCAATGCAGGGGGTGTCCAAGCTACGGTCCGGGGTCCAAATGCCAGCCCTCCACCATTTTTGAATCGGCGCTCAGCAAATTCTAAAAGTATAGTGAATATGGCCCACAAAATTAAACAATCTGCTATTGTACTTCATGAATATATAGTTCAAATAATATAACACAGTATCCATTGTGTAATAAGCCCAATTTTCAAATAAATTCAGTACAATTAAGTTGAAAACATGTTCTAACAACCCCTTAGTTGATAAGAAAAAAGCCCAATAACACATTTTCATAACAACCTTGAAACATACCCTTCATATTTCCTTTATTATAAGCAATCTGAGAAGTGAGCTGCCAACACAAATACATGAAACCCTAAGGGGAGCTGTGTGGTTTTGTTCATCAATATCAACCATCATTTACCTACATTTGATTGATTTCTCTAACTTATAACTTATGAGGCAATATACCTCTAGTGACAGCCCAGCCCTTCGTATATTTTTCTGTGTGTGGGCCCTCGGTGAAAAAGACTTGGGACACCCCCTGATCTAATGGGTGTGTGAAGATTCTGACCACATCTATTTAAATATCATCGTCTTCTTGAGACTTGACATTTCTCCGTCTTTTCGACCCTCCCAGGTATCCAGAGTATGAGTTCATCAGTGATAACTCCATCTCCTGGTCGGCAGGCCTTCACAACCGCTACACTGAGAACTCGCTGAGAGGAGTCATCCTGGACATCTACTTCCTGTCTCAGACCGACTTCCTGGTCTGCACCTTCTCCTCACAGGTCAGCCCACAGGCACCATTTACAGCTTGATATGGGGGCATTCTTGCTGTGTGTTTTGGTATTTGGCTAAATTGACATTTGTGATGGATTTGTTGGGATGCGCTAGCAGACGAAGAAGTATGGAGGTGGAATAAAACAATAATGGTGGCATATTTAGTTAAAAACATGCATTTTATGTTGTTGTTTTGTGTCATGTAATTGGAGAGAGTGTGGGAGAGAAATTCCCTCTAGATGGAACTTTAGGATTTTAGCCTTTGCAGACGATTTACTGAACATATGTAAATGATAGTGAAAAGTGAACGATTGGTTTGGAAAAAGAGGTTGACATTCTGGAAATTGTCTCGACCTTTCAGGCACATCTCATGACCTTCATCAGCGGAAAGAGCTGAGTTGTCATGGAGATGATTCAGTTGTTATCATGTGACCTCAGTTGTCACATAACTGAACTTCCAGGCTGAGCCTTCTGTAGATCACATGATATCAATTTAACAGTTTCAATTAAATCAGAGGAAGGTCACCAGGTGTGACTGAAAGCTCATGAATATTTCAGAAAGAAGACTTCTTCTTTTTTAAGCTGCTATTTTGGAAATAAATGATAGACTTTGAAGCTGATTTGATTGCTTTGTAAATTCACAATAACAAGTAAAAGCACAGAATTGCAGATGTAAAAAAAAGGAACGAGAATAACCTTGAAGCGGAGATGACCCTTTAATAAAAGCACACTTGAGAACAAAAATACCTTGATTATATTTTTAATTACGAACACAGCTTTGGAAAAAAGAATCAGGTCAGACAAAAGGTTTTGTGCTAAAATAGCGGTGTTAGAGCCGTCGAAAGACAATAGTCACTTGATGTTTCCAGTTTGTCCCAAGGCACACCAGAACCTTTTCATAATCACGAGCATGTAATTGTCAACAACCTCATTGTCCCATTTTTACTCGCATGATTCACAGCCCATGTATTACACAGCTGACTTTACAAAAGGCATTTGTCATCTATTATTCTGATCATCTCAGCTTCTAAAGTGCTGTTTTATAGAGAGTTATAACCCGGAGTAGACGGGCTTCCTGCCAAGCCTAAAAATAATAGCCGCATATTTTCCTATTCACACACTGGCTTTAATAGTCCACTTCAAGGATCTGAATGGAATGAGTTGCTTTGCACATGTTATTCCTCTTTTACCAGGGCTGAAATGCAAAGTATATGTCTTACAGAGAGAAATCCTTTTATACCTCGAGCAGCGTGTTCTCTTGCCTTCGCAGCCTTATTGTCAAGACGAATACAAGCATGTGAATTTATAGATGAAAGACAAATCATTCCTGTTTCTGTTGTGTGTCTCAGGTCTGCCGTGTGGCTATGAGATTATGCAGACGCTGCATCCAGACGCTTCCTCCTACTTCTATTCCTGGCCGACATCTACTACTTTGGCGGTCACAAACGCCCACAACCAGATCGCCAATCTACCCCCCACCAGCCGCGCAGCAGCGAGGACATTCCCTGGAGCCCGGAGACTGATCGGCGTGGCGGGAAACCACTGGGACGGATACTCCAAAGGCCATTTCAACCGCAAAATGGGCCGCACTGGCCTCTACCCTTCCTACAAGGTCAAAGAGAAAATTGAGAGCGGTGAAGTAACCGACGTACCCGAGGCTGGACAAACTGCTCAATGCTCAAAATAAGTAAAAGAAGAAATGAAAAAAATAAAGAAGCAAGGGTGTTGAGGGGGAAACACGCAGACTCCGATTCCAGGGAAGGAGGCTGCTTTTGTACAGAATACGAGGCGTACTTAGTGGCGCTAAGCTGCGAAGAAAAGAAGAGCCTGTACCCAGGGGTGATGGGGATGAGAATGCACTCTTATGTGAGAGCGTGTGTTTGTGTGTATGCGTGCGCGAAAATGTGTGTGCACTTGTGTAAATGCCTGTGCATATGTCAGGTCATGGAAGACTTGCACCCTACCACTGCTCCCCCTGCCGCGATGCTCCGACGGTCGGCTCTGTAGAGATGTAGACGTGAACATTGATTTTAAATAAAGCAAGAAAACAATTAAATCTTCACAACTGACCGAGCTCGCTCACCTGAGACAGGACTGGGACCTACTGTAAGACTCGCACGCCGGAGTGAGCTTCGAATCAATGACTGAAAAAAAAAATGATGACAAACTGGACAAAAAGAGTTTTGATTTTTATTTAATTGCTTTCAGTGGTTCTGATTCTAATCTTGCCTTTTTCTTTTCCCCTCCTGTCTTTATTTTGTTTACTGAATGTACTGTATCCTTCTTCTTGCCATGCTCACCGCTGCCCCAAGTCCCATCACCCCCCCCCCTTCCCCTTTCCCACTCACTGTGCGTCCTCCATCTCGTCTTTTCATGTGCAATTAATTTAAAAAAAATACCATATGTGCTTTTATCAAGTGTTTTTAAACGGTCTTAATTTTGTGCGTATGGGGCTTGTGATTGTATTACTGTACAGTGTGTGTGGTGTGTGTCGTGTGTGGGTCCCGAGGATGGATGTGTGTGTGAGATCAAGTGTGCCTGTGTGTGATGTTTTAAGGGGCCATGTGACGACCTGGTGCCTGATTCATGGTGAGCAGTGTGTTTTTATCTATTCTGGCTTTCCTCTGACTGAATAGTGTTTGTATGGCCACAGGGGACTGGCAGGTGACAGTGGGGACTGTCCTCAGCCCCCACCCCCAACCCCACCCACCACAGCACTTGGAACAATGGTGAACTACAGTCACTCCGCTGGTGAATGCTCTAGTGAACAATGGTAAGATTATGTGGAGATTGGTGAACTCATGGTGCACGCACACACACAGACAACAGGAGCCGTCCCGAGGCTCACCAAAAGAAGCACTCCACTGAGATAATGTCCTTTTTTCAGCATCTCTGCTCTCTTCTGTCCATTTGTTTGTTTGTTTTTTTACTTCTAACATTGCTGTTTTAAAATAAATAAGGATGAATATGCCTGTTTAAAAATGATAATGTCATATCAAACTCAGTCCCCCATCATGAAGGCTTTTTTATCATAACTTATGTTCTTGGGCATTGTCTTTGATAACCACGGATCGAATAAACTTGAGAAACCAACACAACAGTTTGATATATTGTTATGATTCTGTCCGCCATCTGCTCCTCCATCTCCCCAGAGACACCTGCTCGTTCAATCAGCCTGAACATGCCTCTGCATTACACACATTCCAACTGGGAATCAAGGCTTAGTCTATTTTTGAAGAGTTCATTTCCTGAAGGGTACCCATCTATTTTTGAAGAGTGACAGTCATTACCTGAAGTTCCTCTTTTGATATCCCCATAAAAAGGAGGACCCTGCTTCTCAAATTGATATCATTTTGGCATCCCAGGATTAGAGCTTACACTCCTACCTTCAAAAGTACCAGTAGTTTGTTTTATAAATCATTCAGCAAATGTGTGAATCCATTTCAAGTCATTACAGAGCCCCACATCTTAAATCTTTCTTAGATCTACGTTTCAAACTAAAGACGGAGATCAGTACCTTCAACATAGACATTAGCGTCCTTCGTTTAAATATTCCTTGTGGCAGCTACATGACGTTCTTCCCTGTGGAGCCCGTAGACTTCCTGCTCCAGTCGAGAGTCCTGATCGTTTATGATCTCGTTCTCTGTGTCTTATTTATGTGCTGTCTTGTTACTTTCTTACAGAGAGTGCTTTGGGAGTTTCATTACAAATCCCTCTTTAATTTCCACGCTGATCTGCATGCTTCATTGGACACCCATAAGGATAGCCCGCAGCAGCAGTAGCGGAGATTGTGGTTCCTCGTGAATAGTAGTTTTATTGGGTTTTTTTCCCCGCCTGACAACAATCCACAAACCAATTTAGCCGTCGTTGACAAAGCTTTCACAATGCACATGCAGCGTGTTGCCAGTTCATTGAACATCTTTCTTCACTGGGAAAGAGTCCCTCGTGGGGCTTTATAAACACACACGCTTCCTGGAGGGCACTTTAATTAAAATGCAATTGTTGCTGTCACAGTGGCCTGTAACAGTCGTTTAAGAGAGACGTTAGTTCAGTTAATTATTCTGTTAATTGGACTCGGCTTCTGATAGAGAGCATTCAAGTTTTTAGCAGGCGGTTTTCCTTCTCTGTATTTGTGGTGTAATTGTCGCAGATCTCGTTGATATTTAAAGGCCTCCCCCATAACGTTGTGTGGTTTTGTGAGCTGAAAGGAAATCTGTCACATCTCAGTGCCTTATTCCTTTACAAACACATGGTTCAACAGGTTGCTTTTCATTGTTTATCCAGGCTTTTTGGTCACTTCATTCTTTGGAAAGATTCCCTCCAAAGGTGATTACAGGGGAAAGAAGTGGAAAACAATCCATAGTCATTGTTTAGGATTTTTGTTAAATACAGTGTTCCTTGCTCAGCTGCAGAGGAAAGACTTTTGTATTAAAGGTCACCTATTATGCAAAATCCACTTTTTCATGTCTTTTATACATCAACATGTGTCCCCTCTGTGTAAAGAGACTCTGAAAGTTTCAGGAAAAAAGATTTGCTCACTTTTTGTCCTGATCCATTTATATAAAAACCTGATCAGATTTTGGCCCACTTTGTGATGTCATAACAATTTTTTTTTGGCTTGTTTAACCATTAGCCAATAACCAAGGTACCCCCCCCCCCCCCCCCCCTTATCACCTGAATCTCCTCCTAGAGCACCCTTAGGCACGTTCACACTGGAGTACTTTTCCCCGTACTTTTCCCGTTTAGTTCCGTTAGTGCCCCTTATGTTGCGTTCACACCAAAAAGAGTACTTAGTCCCGGGAACTTTTACCCCCATTTTTAGTGCCTGCTAGAGAGGTGGTACTATCCTGGGGAGAACAAGTGCCCCAGTTCTGATTGGCTGGGCGAATTGCAAACCACGCCCGTAAAACTCTGAAAAGTTTTGTGAAGCCGCCATTGTATTTGTGGCATTAGCATTATTAGCATTAGCCCCGCGCACCAACGGAGAGAGAATAACTTATGGCAACACAAAAAAAAACATGGGAGCGGTGGAGATGAGGAGGTGTCGGCATTCTGGCGATTTACTCGGAAGGCTTCAGTAGAAGCTGCTGGGAGTCCCAGAAGCTTCTACTGAAGCCAGTCCCTAACTCCGGACGGGGACTTTGGGTGGCAGTATACGCCGTGAAGTTGTTTGCGGCCTGCCAGTAAACCCAAAGCAGAAGAAGACGAAGTGACGTCAGCGGCTCATTTGCATAATCTTCCCACAGGGAACTTATTCCGGTGTGAACGCGATCTGTATTTAGTGCCCTGGGGTACTAAGTGCCGGGGCACTAAGTGCGGCAAAGTACTTGGTGTGAAAGCGGCTATTGTGTTCTTCTTAACCAAATCTCTCTCAGAGGGGCGTGGGGAGTGGCTCCTTATTTTCATCTAAAGTAACAGACAGAGAATCAGCACTTTTGAAACAGGGCTGAAACAGAGGGGATTATGGGATGCTGCAATGATCTGTTTGGTGTTTGGAGCCAAACACTTCAGAGACATGTTCTGTATATATCTGAGACCTATAATATATTGATGAAAAACAGTATAATAGGGGACCTTAACAAGGCCTAACTTCCAATCCGGCCTTTCCTACCTCAACCAATCCTTTTTTTCCATCCAAAACCTATTAGCAGGAAGTGGGTTATAAAACCCTGCAGCAGGGAGTATACACTGAGTTGATTAAATCTGCTGCCCCTGCTCATTTGGTGGAACGCCATTTGTGTCCATCATGGAACAGGCCTTCTACAAATTGATGTTTAACATTTTCATACAAATGTAAAAAAAATAAAGTTAATAACACAAGTAACATCTCATGTGAGATCAAACAATGCCTTGTCTTGTTCAATTGATTGTAAAGTGTTTATGTTTACAGGTTCACCTTCATCTTTAGGGATTTATCATCTGTACAAGTCAGGCAATCCGTGTGAAATTGAGGGAGTGTCTGAATAAACCGTTCCATAAAGCCTTGCAGGTAGTGTAGCTAAAAAGACTAACTTTGAAAGATACAAACTTCATTTGATAACTCAAACTGCTGAGTCCTGATACTCAAATAAGCTTTGGGTGATATTGAACGTTTGGAATAGATGGAAGGCTTTGGGTTCATTTCCTTATCTTGTAAACTGGAATTACCTGAGAATAAAATAGGCATGTGAGTGTTGCTGTGAGACAAGTTAGAAAGAAAGTTGAACCTGTTCTTTAATGCTTCAAGAACATGGACCAAGTGTTCAATGTGGCCATACCTGATGGAAATCACATTATATAGAGATAAGTGGGTAGGCCATCGCCCTGTGGAATTCTAATCTTATAAAGGGCAGCTGCTTTAATTCTGACTGACTCATGAAAAAGGGAGAGGAAATGGTTATTGTAGTCCTGGCCGTCTCCAATCAGTAACAAGTGAAGTCTGCCCTGCGGTACCTTGCCCACATCAAAGCTGAAAAAGGAACCAGAACAAGACACTGTTGGATTTTCCCAAGGCAAAGAAGATGGCAGGGTGTGAATCTTTGCCTTAAATCAACTCTACAATCGGCCACTTTCTGGCTTTTATTAGCTCAGTAATCCCACCTGTTCTCTCCACTCACTATACATTTGATTCTATAAACCTGATTCTTGGCACAGGGCAGGGAAAGCTCAATGCGCTGACAAGTTCATCATCACTCAGAGGAACAAAGGCGTTTTGCTTGGCACAAGTACTCTACTTTAACTGCTGATCCCTGCTGTGAATCCAATAAATCAGAGTTTCTTTATTGTAATTTGGAGAAAAAAAGATGCCTCTTTATATTATACACAAAACAGTTGCTATACCACATCACGTTATGATTGAAATAAGGAATGTGCATTTCTTATTTGATTGTAACAGCAGGTATAACATTTCCAATTTGATATTCTCCTTTTGGAGATGGAGGTCTCTGTGTTGAAAACTATTTGATTATTTTTCATTTGTTCGACTCATGCAGTGAATGTACATAAACAATGATTGATTCCGTTTTCAAAATGACAGATTGCTTTCATTGTACACAATATATCTAGCTTTTAGCTGTGCCTACATTATAATTGTATTTATCTTGTTATCATCCAGGAAGCTATAAGTGGGTGGTGTTTTGGTATCACCATCGATCTCATTTGGGTTAAGAGTATAGTCGGTAGCAGGCTGATGTTTGTCAGAAATATCAGCAGAACATGCTGAACAACCGGTTCATGATTTTAATGTACCAGCAGTGGAGTTTTTGACAGTTTTATGAAGAGCACGTTGCTGACCTGAGCGCTCTGTGAGGTTACACAAATAATGGAGCCGCAGACAATCAACTCTCTGCAGCTTCCTTTGTTGTAAGACAGACAAAACGCTTTGTATAACCAGCCTGATGAAGTGTGATATTAGCACTGTGACTATAGTGTAACAATAAGGCATATTAATACATGGTAATGATAGCAGTGAATGTAATATTGTGATAGCATTTGATGGTGTTTAAAAAATGCATTGTGGTTTATTATAAAGCCTTTTTCTCATAGTATTGGACGTCATTCCTAACAATAAGTGTTGAGATCAAGGAATGTGCTTTGAGCTCTAAATCAAGTGTTTCTCTAAAATATTTAACACTAGAATGATATGAAAGGAAATGGCAAAATGAATAAGACGAATGGTTGTGATTTGTAACATAACATTTAAAGGTTACGCTGGTTGTTCTGGAACAATCATTCAATGTAAAGAGAGTATGCCATGACGTCACTCTCCCACCTGAACACGCCCCCTTCAGTTGGACTGAGTGACATGATTACATCCTGCAACATGGCTGCCCTTAAACCAAACCGACAGAAAGTCCACCATGCTCTTCTGACGGTAACTGCAGTGAGTAAGAAACGCAAAACAAGTGTTTTCTAAGCTACAAGTAGAGGATAAGTCAGGTAGCTGCTAGGCTATGTAGAAGGACATAGGCTTATGCTAATGTTGCTAGCATGTTCTTCATGTGGTGAACACTTCTCTGACACTTGTGAGTTATAATTGTACTTCTGTTAAATGTTGTTGCTATTAAGCCACATGTATTGTGTGTAAGTTTAACAAAACATGAATTGCATTCATTTGTTTAT